TTTTTCCAATTCCTAATACAGACTGGCACCTGTATCACTGCACAGAACTGTTTCAAAGGCAGAGCACACAGATCTGTGTTTTAAATAGAAGTCCTAATAAAAAAAATCATACATGGCTGCTTAAAATTTCAGGTTTGAATCGTAGGGGAAAAAATGGCTATCCAAAATACAATACAGAAATGTGGAATTCTAAAATACTATTAAATATAATCATGATTTCCACCTTCCCTAAGAGCATTTCTCCCATCTGTTCTTCCTTCTCATTAATATTTCGTGAATGAATCTATCAAGGCAATCATCACTACCAATTGCCATTTGAGTCTAATGGAGTTTATATTTAATAATTTTACTTTTGTGACTGATTTACCGAAGGAGAAATAAAGAAGTCTCAAAGAAAGCAGCCCAACATTAGAAGCTCAAAATTGAGTTTAAATATCAAAATTCTTCTTCTGACAAGTCAATTTGAAACACAAACATAAATTAGAAAAAAAAAATCACATTTCCCTTTAACAAAGTAGTATATAGATGCTTTGTGCTATAAAACACCACCTAAAAAAAAATCTCATTTACTTGATTGATAGAATTGCGATGTCCCTTTTGTCCTTAGGAATGTATTATTCACTTATAGTTTGAGAAACTTTATGTGGGTATTGTCTTCTGAAGATTCATTGATGATCGGGTTGCAGAGATGGCTTATCGGTTAAGGGCACTGACTGCTCTTCCAGAGGTCCTGAGTTCAAGTTCCAGCAACCATATGGCAGCTCACAATCTGATGCCCTCCCTTTCTTCAGGAGTACATGAAGACTCATATATATGCAAATTACAATGTATTTTAATATATAAAATATATCTTTTAAAAGGTTCATTGATGAGAATATTCATTATCATTCAACTTAAGGTATGTATTCCTCCAAATTGATCTTCTGATTCATTGATCACTCTAAAACCATTGTCAATTTTTTATGCCATTAGAAAACAGAAGTAAGAAATCTAAAATCTCAATTACACTCAATGAAAGCCAATAGCAAACTATGGAAACAGTGTTTTCAAAGTTCTTCCTCTTGTTTGTTCAAAGACAGTGCACTATTCTAGACAACAAAACAAGCAAACCAAGGCTAATAATTCTTTCACAACTGCTTTTTCCTTCCACTTTAAAAATGGCATAAGCAAATGTTTGCTTACAGAGTTGTATAATACTTTATGTTTATGAAACAGACCTTTTCATTTGCAACTGCTCCAATTTGCTATTGAAACAAAACATACATGCACAGTACGAGTATAAGTCTCACAGTTTCTTGGCAATTATTTTACATTAACTACTCCAAATCTCAATTTTTATTACACATATTATTTAGATATTTCATACCACCTACATGCATGCTTGCAATTCTGTTGTGTTTTTTTTTCTGAGAAGCATCATATGTATTTTGTTGGCATTTTTGTTGACTTTGCTCTTTGGAATAATCCTCATGGGGAAAAACAACTGTCAGAAGCATCAATTATATGAAGAGTTAGGCTGCTAAAAACTGCAAGTCTAAATCTTGCTTCAGTAAAGCTCGTTTTTATTATCAAGTACGAAGACCCTTCTGTGCACATAGCATTGTGTTTAACACAAATGAAGGTACACACATCTAATCTGTATGCATTAATAGAGTAAATGCCCAAGGCTCTGGAAGTGACAGTTATACTAATCAAAAAAGTAAGAGGAAAATATGCAATGGCTGCAATATGTTTACCCATAGTTTACTAAAATAACATTCTAGTAGCAGTATGGAGTGGCTAATACATTAGTGGAAAGGTAGATGACTACAAATGTCAAGGGTTGATAAAATTGGGTCAAGATAAATAAAAATGGGTGGTTGAGGAAATTTAGAGAGAGAGACTGGAAGGAAACTATTGACACCTCCAAATAGACACGCATCATAATTCTTGAACTTTCCTTAGAACTGAAAAGCAACGAACAGATTCAACACAATTGGAGGACAAGAGTAAACAAAATGGTGTGAGATTTAATCTGAGAGAAATCAGAATAATTCACTCAGAAAATACTAGTCATTAATCAGTGACCAGTACTGAGTTACTCTCATGTTTTCAAATTAGTACCCAAATTTTCTCTTAATCTTACATTTACCATTTTTTTTCAAGAAAATCAATCTCTCCCTTGCTGGCATAGACCAGATGACTATCTGAGGAATACAAGAAATAATCATTCCATCCACCAGTTTAACAGCTTGGCTTAAGAAAATAGCTCTTCATGGGAGAAGGCAAACAAAAACAAACCTAATGAGCATTAGTCAAATGAGAACAACGTGTGTTCAATTAATTACATCAATCTGTCTTTGTAACATAAAGGCAAAACACGGTGGAAAGAAGATAGAAATAATAATAAAACTCAAATAATAAAAATTCAACCGGTTAAAGGTTGTACAAATGATGCCACATTGAAGCTGGGTATGGTTGGTGGTGTGCCACTATAATCCTTATATGTATAAGGATTAAACAGGAAGTTCAGAAGTTTGAAGACACCCTATATTCCAGAGCAACACTCTGTCTCTAAAAAGAAAATTAAAAACAGCAAGAAGTTCTTAATTGACATTTTATGTATTTCTAAATTGTGTGTGATTCTCGTTTGGATTGGATAATTTGCTAATTTGAAAAATATTGCAATTTTTTCTAGAATAACAAATGATTATAGCATTATACAGAATTCCATGTAGTTTTCATTCACCAGTAGAGTTTGCATTGGTTATGTGATAAATATATTATAAATTAATTTTTGTTCTAGTTTTTCAATACATCTAGCCTTTACTAAACTTTTGGCAGCTATAAAACCAGACATTGAGAAAACGACTCTGTACCAGGACAAGAATTAGATTGAGTACGAAGATTTGCCAGTTTTTGGTCCTAATTTTGCCACTGACAAGTTCAACAATTCTCTTGACACCTCTGACTTTATTTTCCTTATCCATCATTTAAGCATTATTTTTATTTATTGCTTTTTCTAGTAGGTTGGACGAGTGTTAGATTAAACTATGAATCTTTTTCACATAATCTTCTGTTCCAATATATTAAACCATACTGTTTACTTGGATGAATACTAGAAATTAATAGACATATTTCTACTAAACGAGACTGGCCTGCACAATAGTTTTGTGGTCAAGATAAAACTCCTCACAAATCTCTAGGGTTATGTTTCCAAACACTGCCGTGGTTAGCAAAACTACTGTTCGCAAGATCAAGATCTATTAAAGGACACGGCTTATCAGGGAAGAAAGGGAAATCAATATACTGTCACTTAGAAATTGATTTAATAGACATTACAGAGAGTTTTTATGTCTAAAGGGAACCCTGATTGTTAGCCTTGTAAAGCCTCTGAATAGATGAGCTTTCTTCACAACTGTCTTCATGTTCAGGCAACATTACTGTACTAATCTGACCTAGTAAAATAATCTTATCACAGGATTTAATTGAACAAATTAGAATCTTTAAAACATTTTATCCCATCAATCTGTATTGACTACTTTTCCTACTGTTGTAATACAAACAAACAAGCAAACAACCACCCGAAGGAAAAAAAATCCTGTTAAAAGCAACTGAAAGAACAAAAGGTTTATCTTAGTTTACACTTCCAGGATACAGTCCTTCATGAAAGACGAAGCATGATGACAGGAACAGAAAGCCAACTGGTTCCATTGCATTTACAGTGAGGGTGCAGCAAGTGGCCAGGAAGTGGGGGCTGTTTATAAAGCCTTAAGTCTCCCTACTAATGACACACATCCAATAGCTGGTTCCACCAGCTTTACAAACAACTCTCAACCTAGTGTTCCTAAGGGCCACTCATTCAAAAACATGAGCTTTTGGATACATTTTTGCCTTCAATCCATAACACAATATTAGTTTAAAACTGAATTTATTTCACCTTCAATTCACATTTTATCCTCAGAATATACTATTATCAAATTGCTCCATAAAATCTAAATAGATATGTGAATGTCATGGGACAAATGGGAAAAATAACTTCATAAAAGATGTAGGACAACTGGTAACATTCAAATGAGTCATACATCATACAATAATATTGGACTACATCTGAATTACTTAAAGTGAGATCATTACATTGTGATAGTGTTGAACAATGCATTGTTTTTAAGATGCATGAACAATAAAAGACTTAAAAATGATGAGGCCTGCCTGCAATTCACTGTTGGATTGGAGAGAACACAACAGTTCAGACTTGTCTCTAAAGAAGAAACATAAGGGAAAGCATATAGACGAAAGTGCTATAATTGTCAACATGCTAATCTGAGAAAAGGTTGATGTGAAAAACTATTTTTACTATTCAAATGTGTCTATACATTTGAAACTTTTAAGATTTTTTTTAAATTTTCTATTAATTGTTACCACATCCTGGGCATAAATAGTTTCTAGATTTTTCTAGAAAATTTCTAAGTTTCTACATTATTTTTGTTTGTTTGTTTGTGTTTTTTTTTTTTTTGTTTTTTCAAGACAGGGTTTCTCTGTAGCATTGGTGCCTGTCCCGGAACTAGCTCTTGTAGACCAGGCTGGCCTCGAACTCCCAGAGATCCACCTGCCTCTGCCTCCCAAGTGCTGGGATTAAAGGCGTGCGCCACCACCGCACAGCTCTACATTATGTTTTAGGAGTCACTCCTTATAGCCAAATAAGAAACATACTTTTATGGTTTTTTTTTTTGTGTAGACCTAGAGATAATTATTAAATTTTTATTTTATTCTTTTATATTTAAGAATGACATGAAATAGTAAAGAAGTGGCACAATCTCCTTAAAAGATATTTGTAGAGCATTTGCCCGTACATACAAACTGTTCAAACATACAAAAATGTTCCTGAGAAAATAACTGTAGAAACATGACTGGCAATTGGGTTTTTTGACTTCTAGGTCCATCTAGATGCATTTTGTTACCTCATTCCTCTACTTTCTGTGAACACGAAAATGGCAATATATGTGTTTTCTGTGTATTTTATAGAGACAACAAACACAGTTCCCACCATCACTAATAATGCATCAAGGTTCTCACATTTGGAGGAGCCAAAGACGTCAACACATCCCAAGCCCAGTGATGAGTTCCCATGAGGAAAATGACTTCTTGGTCATAGTATCTTCTCGGCCAGGTAAGTATAAAAATATGTGCAATGGATCTTTTTTCTGTCCCACCAGCTAGCTCCCAAATAATGACATGGAGACATTTTTTATTAATTATAAAAGCTCAGCTAATAGCTTGGGCTTGTAACTAGTTCTTATAACCTAAATCATCCATTTATATTAATTTAGGCTCTATCATGTGGCATTAAATCTCTTCATCTTGCACCTCCTGTTTCCTCTTTATGTCTGACTTGTTTCACAGCCTCTGTTGCTCCCAGAGTCCTCTCTGTGCCTGGAAATCCCACCTGTACCTCCTGCTTAGCTATTGAACGTTTAGCTCTTTATTAAACCAATCAGAAGGTACCTTGGCAAAGACATATCTTCACAGTGTACAAAAAGATTATTACACTAAAATACATAGTTTACAGCTATTAAAAAACATGTTCAGATAAGAATTCAAATGTTTTCCTCTTTGAAAGAGTGGCTCATTCCATGGTACACTTTGGGTAATGAGAAATAAGAATCAAAGATGGTTGAAATTTTAGTTTATCCCTTTGGTGCACTTCATATTTTAATGCAAATGCATTTATGAAGAAGGAAGTATTCCATATCATTTGCTTTGCACTTAGAAAATGAATTAAATATTGGTAAATTTAGTCCCTTCAACACTCAATTAAGAAACTAATAAATTATTTCTCACTGATTTTTCTGATAATGTTGATTTAAAGTGAAATTTCCAGTATGTTTTTAACACAAACTAAGGACATTTAGCTAGTAATACAAATAGAAGATAAGATAAAATTGCAGTGAATCTATAAATTTCCCATACAATGGTTTTTATTGAATAAGAGATGGACTAAAACACTGGCAAGATTTTAAAATGGTTATAATCTTATTATTTGACTTAGAATTAACCCTAAAACACACATATTTTGAGATAAGTTTTTATTAAATTGTATTGAGTTTATTAGCTAAACAGAAGACAGTTCCCAACTCTCATAGTACAAGGTTCAGAAAAACAATCACATATATTTTTGGTTAAAATTAAGTAAACAACGACTCTTTAGATGACCAGGCAAGAAAAAAAAATGTGCATCAATGATAACAAAGGACAGTTGTCTGTGAGTGAGAACTTCTGTTTGGCACTTAGTGCATCATCACCAGCTTATATCAAAATAGGCTAGGAAGAATGAGAGATATTCAGACCCAACCCAAGGCCTGCAGAAAATAAACAAACAAAGGCTAAACTTCATAAAGGTTTCCGTGATCCAAACGTGTGCTCTCAGAAGCACTGTTTTAGATTAAGTTTGAATAAGGAACGAGAGGAAAGAACTGCACAAAAATGCTCACAGGCATCACCATGTTTTTCTCACTGAACTGGGTGTATAACAGTTTGCACCACGCCACATCATGCCAGGCACTGTGTGAAAACTCTTACATGCATTTGCCATGTGTCTCACTACAAAACTATCTGGTGGCATTTATTGCTGGTATTTTTTTAAGAAAATGGATTCAAACCCGAGATTTACATAGGCATTTACAATCTGGTTCAGGAACATAGGCTCTTAATCAAATTATGTGGTCTATTGTATGGCTGTTAGAGATTCTACATTGTATCAAAATATGTTCAATTTTTAAAAATCTAGAACGTATAGATTAAAGAAAACTCCGGGTTTATCAAAAAGTTGTACTTCAAATTAAAAATAAGACCTTCGGGTATACAAAAATTAAGTTTCATAAGCCTTCAAAATGATCAGTATCTGACAATTTGTTATTTCTAAAATGATTAAATAGGTAATCAGAAAATCAAACTGTTTACAAATAATTTCCACTCATAAATCAATCAGTGAAAGATAATTCTGTACTCATGAAAACGTAGATATCAATTAATGTTGAAACTAACAGTGTTGTTCTAATGACTTTTTGCTCTAAATTGGAATCCTTGAATAAGAAAGCTATAAGTGAGCAATGCAGTTTTTTCTTTAACCAGAGTTCTACTTTGATAAATTGCAAAAGTAAAGCAGTTGGGGAGGGGAACCAAATAATTGACGAAAAAGAGGAAGAATAATACAGTGGCTTTCTTATCTTTGAATTCACAACTAATCTGATTAGGAAGAGCTGAGCTGTTCTGATCCACAGTGGTCAGTAGTGTATTTTACTAGTGACCTTAACCACAGAATAAGGACTTACTTTAGTCAAATGAGGAAAGTTGTAGGAGCTGGCTGGCTTCAGGGAATCCTGTGGGCCAATTCCAGTTCTCACAATAAAAAGCAGAGTAACTTCAGGAAAAGCTTCTGCTCCCCGACTCCTCCAAACAATGCTCACATCGTTTTTATCATCTAGCGATTTTAGAGACGTATGTACTCATTTCCTTACAGTCACGCTGACATAATGGTCTTCTAAGTGAGATAAATGCCTTAGGTTTATTTGATCAATATATTTGAATTATGTGTTTAGTGTCAAGATTCTAGGTTTTTTTTTTCATTCAAAGACTCAAACTATAAGGTAATTTGTTTCCTTGCACCATCTAGTGGATTTAAATGACAACTGCGGCAGTACAGTAAATTACTATAAGTCAATCCTATAAGTCAAATTTTCAGTCGTATCTGAATAACTAACTATGCCTAAAATCATTATTCAATTCATTCCGCAACAAGTCATTATTATTCCTCCCTTTACGGTGGGAATCAATTAAACGTAGGTGAACTCATTAGCGAATGTTTAAAATGCTAAGAAAGATATTACGGGATCGTTGCTATCCTTTCGAGAACCGAGAGAACGAGAAGCATGGTTTAGTTCTTAGAGAAGCCCCTGCTACGCTCCCTGCCAGCAATCTGCGCCATAGCCGCTGCCCAGCCTCCGCGCCGAGCCCAGTGCGCAGGCGCACCGCGGGGCGGAAGTGGGGGGGCGGGCCCAGACCGTCCGCGACAGGAAGAGGCCGGAACGGCTGGGTGAGGCGCTGCTGAGACGGTTGAGCGCTGAGCCGGGGCCGGGCCGCAGCTCGGAATCGCGAACGTGGTGATCCTCGGAGCCGAGCGAGCGTCGGGGCTTCCGGAGCAACCGTTGCTGTCCCCGCGGACGCCGCTGTCGCCGACCCGGAGGACGCGGCCCCGGAGAGGCCTGCAAGGCCTAGCGCGGCCCGCGGAGCCCGACGAGTCTCTGCTGTGAGTAGAAAAAAAAAAAAGCAGCTCCCTCTGCACAGCCGCTTCCCCGATTAAGATGGAGGAGATTTCGTTGGCCAACCTGGATACTAGCAAGCTGGAGGCCATCGCGCAGGAGATCTATGTAGACCTGATAGAGGATTCCTGCCTGGGATTCTGCTTTGAGGTGCACCGGGCTGTCAAGTGTGGCTACTTCTACCTGGAGTTCGCAGACACGGGCAGCGTGAAGGATTTTGGCATCCAGCCAGTGGAAGACAAAGGAGCACGCCGCCACCCGCTCTGCTCCCTGCCTGGAGATCCTGAGAATGCGCCCCAGCCGGAGCTGCAGCGTTCACCTCCAGAATTCCAGTAGTCCCCAACAAGTGAGAGAGGGCTACAGTGACCAGGACAATAATGGAGACTGGTCCCGTGGCTTGGAGGAGTAAGCTAAATTGGAGGGGGGGGGGAGAAAAAAAAAGATAAAAGTCCCAGTTACCCTTAAAGATCTTAGCATTTGAAAAACAAAACAAAACAAACAAACAAAAAAAGCCCAAAGAAGAGAATTTAGGAATTTGGATCCATTCGAAAGGGTACCCAGTGCCAGCTCTGAAATCCTGGGCAGGACTGTGTCCACAGGCCTCGTGCTGTATTCTGAGCTCTATAAATACACCTGGATGTACAAGATCCCCGTGCTGCCGTCGTCAGTACACAGGTGAGCAACTGTGTGCCCAGCATCTACAATTCTTTTGTTTCTCAGATTTGGATCTGCTTGATGTCAAGGACTTCCTGCAGAGTTTGGATAATGTCCTTGGTCAGGCCATGATCAGTCGACTAGAGTGGACAGGTCCTCTGATTCCTAAGCCCCAACCCAATTGGGCCTCCGTGATACAAGTGAAAGTCGGGTATGAGACTTGGATACTAGAAAAATATCAATTCCTATTTGAATTTGGTAGGAAGCCCTGGACCTTGTCCACAAGAAGTGGAGAACCACCTGTTTCTCAGAGGTCCAGCGTTGTCAGTGATTTCCACTGATGTGGGGACAAGGCCTCGCCTTTTGACTCGCCCGAAGCTCTGTCTTTCCATCTCACTCAGAGGCAAAGGTTTGGCAAAGGACACGGTGGCATACAAACAGTTGAAGACTTAGTTCTGATGCTGTGAGGAGAAAGACATCTGCAACCGCATGCCATCTCCACCTGGAAGAGGCCTACCGTGAATCACCGTGGACTTGTTTGGTGGCACAGTCTGTTCCTGCTTTTGAGTTACTGGCGATAGAACCAGCCTGTGGGTCAGACTCGATCGCTATGCCAGGCCTCTGTCCTGTCAGGGACACCACTGAACTACAGAAGGGCCCAGTGGCCAAGCAGAAGGCTGTTTGAAAATTGAGCCAGGAGGGAACATTTTCCATCTGCCCTCAGTAATGTGAATGAGTTCAATGCTAAGGGCCCTGAAAGAGGCCTTGCTTACCTGGTATGATTGCAGAATCTCTTCTGCTATGGTGAATGAAGACTGCCACCACCTTCTTGGCCCTCACGAATGACAGTGCTTCACTCGGTCCGCTGGACCTTCCTGGCAGCAGGGGCTGGCTTTTTGTTGTTGGAAGTTAGGAAAAGACCTCCAAAATTCCCTGGCTTTGGAGGCTGGCATAGAAGTGGAGAGGAAGTGAGTGTCAGTTCAGACCTGTCCTCTGTAGTCCCTAAGTGAGGGCTGATGGAGGGTAGGAGGGTGGGAGTCCTGAGGTGAGCAGAACAGAACGGTGCTGCTTTATTTGAAATGTTTTCTTACCTCATTCTGTACCCCAGTAAAGGGTCCAGCCTCATCCGTCTGGCTTGGCCATGTTCCTGTCACTGCTCCACTGCCTATCCGGTGCAGCTCATGATCCCCGGTGCTGCTTGCCACG